AAGTATATGAGCAAAAATCTATTTTTCTTCTTGGATTATATATTTTTTCGTACATCTTTCATCTTAATTTCTTTGTTCGTTTAAAAATTTAGTCTAATCAAAGATTTAATTGAAATTTGTAACCGCACATAAAATTAACATTACCAGAAATCGAAGAGAAATTAATTCTTAAGTGTGAAATTTGTCCAACTAACAATACAAGAAAATTCTAATAAGGTTTTTTCATGAGACATGTAGTAGGACGCGACAAGCCTCTTTATCTCCCTTGAAGGAAGAGAACTGCTTACAAAGAAACTATGAGCGAAAAAAGAGGAACTGTACGGCACATGACGCAACACACAAGCTTTGCTGGAGTGTTTTGACAAATGACGAACAGAGTTCTCGGGGAGAAGAGTGCACATGTCTTCGGTTCGCATCTCGAGGAACTCGCCAGAGGGTCTACCCTCTCATGGCATATGCGAATTGTGTGTCAGGAGGATCGTAAAAATCCGAGAACAGCCGGGGACCGAGGATTTTTCGATGAATTTTCACACGAGAAGGACCCAGCTATCGGCTCGTCCCCCCGTTCAATTAAGTTTCAACGCCGGAAACATGTGAACCTACTTTACGCTTTTAAAGTCATGCCTTATTCGGCTGAAAACCGGCGAGAAAAACCGCTTTGCAGCTTTCGATCGGCGATCCTCGATTAGCTGAAACTCCATCGAGCCGCGTTCTTTCCCCACTTTCGAAAATTGTCCGGTGTATTTTGTTCGAAGCGATTAGCGAATTAAATTTTTTGGGCGAATAGAGCAATCGAGGAAATACTTGAAAATTTCAAACATTTATTTTATGATCATAAAGGACAATTTTCTTGTAGAGCTTTTAGAATATCGATACGATAAGTTTTACTAATAATACATATTTGTAAAAGTAATCTTTTAAAGTAATTTTATTTGGATAATTTAGAGTAATCTGCTGGTTAAGAGAAAGAAATTGAGGTTCGTGGAATAAGAGAACTCTATTCAATAGAATAATACCTATACTAAATATTTAACTTGTGGATTGTAATATAGTCTTTAGAGAAATAATTTCTTTCAAGAAAAATACAATTATAATATTTGTATAGATAATCCTCTGATTGGAGAATTTCGAATAAAAGAGACTTTCCATACTTTCAAACATCAATTATAGAAACATTTCTAATATCTCCTATGAATCATCAAATGTCTATCTAGTTTGATACTTGAACTATTTCCTAATTTACTCTGATTAGTATGGCGCCGAACAGACAGCTTCTGACGACAATAAATTAACGCGAAATTTATATCGTTCAATCCGGCACAGGCAAATATGCATTGATGCATTATCTTCTTACTTGATGGACCATAACATCACTTACGAAAGCAGAAGCAACTGGGCTCGAAGGAAATGCGAAGGCAAGGTCGAAAAACCTGCGAAAAAAGTGGACAAATGCGACGTGCGGCCTCGTAATTATGTCACAATTGTACGCGGCGCGCGTATGTGGCGTAACACTCGGATAAGCGGAGTAATGAGACCGATAAAAATATGTAGTCCTTGTATTTTCAAAGTTTTTACGAGTTTCGTCGCTAATACAATACATCGTCAAATAATTGCCTGATGAGAGGATCTACGTCTCGAAGTTATCCCCAAATTCAAAATCGAAATATAAAGTTAATTCACTTACTCACTTACTTCAAGAATGATAATTCATTTGAACCACACTACATAATATTAATTAATATTCGACCAGCATAAACTCTAATGTGTCCTAACTATGAACATTCCATGAAATATTTCAAGGCAAAACGAAGAATATCAATACAATAATATTTACCCACCAACTACGTGCATCTGGTGGACATCATTTCCTATATAATAATATTTAATCATTGTAAACTCTAATCTGTCTTACGTCCTAACAATAAATTTCAAAGTCCTCCGTTTATACTCCAAGGAGAAACGAGGAAATTAAATATAACAATATTTATCCACCAACTATATGCACCTGATGGCCGTCATTTCCAACGATAATAATTAATATCCGATCACTAGAAACTCTAGTGTATCCTAACTATGGATAATAAATTTCAAAGTTCTTCATCTATGTTCCAAGGAAAAATGAAGAAAATAAATATAATAATATTTGTCCACTAACCACGTGCTCCTGATGGCCGTCATTCCCGCTGAAGATCGGCCGGACCCACGGCTTGGATACCGGAAAACCCCTCTCGACACTGGTATGAGAGCCGAAGGAACGACAACGCGCACCACCTCCGCGGACGGGAGTCGGCCACTGACTGAACGTGACTCTGATTCTCTGGAACCGGGAGGAGGCTGCGTCGACCGGTCAGGGACCACGAGCCTGCGGCCTTCTGACACTCAAGTCACCGTCAATTTCTCCCCCTTCGTTCTTTCTCTCGTTCCCTCACTCCTCTATCTTTTTCTCTTTCACCGAGCTGTTGCGTTTCGTTTACACTTTTCTTTTTTCCTCGATAAACAGACGATCCCTTTTACACTGATCAACGGAATTTGATTCTTTAGAAAACCGTCTGTGTGCTTGGTTACTTTCTTGCATGCTTTCTATTTGTCTCTAGTATCGAGATTCAAAGGTGTAATTCGAAGTAATGGTAGTTTCATTGGTGAAGTTTGGGATCGGCATCTTTTTGGGGATTACGGCGCAATAGATGATCCCAGACGTAATTGAATATACTTTGCACCGGTGTTTCTGTTTGAGGATTTTGTTAGTCCGTTTTTGCTAATCGTTCGCTAAATATGCTCACGAAATGGAGGAGATACGAGAGGTTCTAACAGATGGTTCGAACGCTATTTCATTTGCACGTTGCACTTTGGAAAGTTTCTGTTTCGTATAGACGAAAATTTTACTATTTTTAAATATGCTAACAAGCCAGTCATAGTGTTTAAATCAATCGAAGGCTCAACAAAAAAGCGTGCAAGCGTATTTTTTCGTTTTTCTCCTAAAAGCATGTTAAATAAGAAACGGTATACAATACATAGGTAACACTTATAATAATGTACAGGATTTATTCAGAAGTTTTCAAACGTTTATAAGAACGTATAACGATATGTTTTATATATAACGATATCAACTTTATTTATAATTTTTTCAAATTAAAGATTTTATCGCTTGTACAACATTTGCTTTTGACCTCTGCAATATTAATAGAAAATTTCGATGAACATCAGTCTATTTAGTTAATATATTTCATGCAATTTCTAAGAACCTAGTCCCAACCAACTAGCACGTTCTTCACACGAAACACCATTAATATTCATTCCTCATAGCAAACTATTAGATTGACCACGACAAAATTCGCATACTACGTCGATAGCTATCAACAATACCAATGATCTATGTTCATATAATATTTTTTGTTTGGTTATATTCATAAAATATACTGATAAAATATAGCTATTCCACTTTTGGACACTTTATATATACCATAAATTTTCGATATTTTACGTCAATACTTTCAAATCGTAAAACAAGAATATCGCCAATTTCTATACTGAAAATTCTCGATAATAACCGATAATACCATTGATATCTCTCTATTTCTCCCACATACGTGTTAAATATGACAAGCTGTAGAAAAATGAAGCAACACGGTTGTGACCCAGTGTGGAATAGTTCAAGGGCAAGTGGTCAGGAAGAGCAATGGATTCTGGAAATTCATTCAGCCGCTCATTCACTCTACTTGCGGACGTCTTAATGAAAAGTGAACCGGCGATTTACGAGCGATCGTTCGATGCGAATGTAGAAACGACCGATGAATAATGGAACGCGTGCTTCTTGGATAGCCCCCTTAGTAGTAACCAGCGACACGATTCCAACATGATGGGATACTCGAGCGACAGAAGAACAGAGATAGGCAAAGTCGATGACGGGGAGTAGCGAGACAGTTAATTAAATTTAACGGGGAGGTTATCACGTCACCAACGATCGTTTCTATGTAGGTATCATGGGCCAGCTTTTCGCGATTCTAGCTGGATTCTATTCTCGATCGTCGAACGAGAGAAGCGTACGACGTGTCTCACGCTTGAAAGAAGCTCGAAACGACAAGAAAGTTTTAACGACAAGATTTAATAGCTATGGGACAGGCGGTAAATCGTTTTAACAACCTATGTGCACAGAACCAATTGTTCTTCCGCCGTTCCTTTCCCAGTTTCTGCCCCGTTTTCTTTGTCCAACCCGGTTATTTCCAGTTTTCCTCGATGCCCGAGATGTTCTACTACTGTGAACGATTCGATTTTGATGCTTGAGAAACAACTACCTTAATCGCGCTGCATTTTATTCCCTCATCATGAAATTTATCCGGTATTTGAAAAGAAATCATGGATCTTTCGTAATGATTTTTCGATTTTTAATAATTCCGGAAATTAGGTTAATACATTTTTTTTTTTTTTTTAGTCAATTTATAGTATCGAATCCTATTCTTTCAGACTGTTCCTATGGTTATGAAAGACAATTCCGAGGATTTCTTTTTCGATGCTGCTTTTTCTTTCGAATCTAAATATTTAGGTCCTACGATTTTATGAAATTTGTACTAATTAATGTATTTATAACATTGTAATAATCTATTTTTTCAAACCTGTATGGTATACTCCTGCAAACTACCTACTATTCTATTTTTCAATGTGAATTACCATATCCACGTTTTCCAATAATCTTATATATATGTAGTTTTTTTTCGCGCTCAATACATAATACCTTAACCATAACATTTACTGGGAACACTAACGAACGAAACGTCGGATGTAAAACCCTTCTTCACTAAATAGTCCCAAAATTACCAAATCGTTCAAATTCAAGTTTCCACTGTAACACAAATACATACACTCTCTCACCACCGATCGATCAATCATGCAAAACACGAAGCAAGATACAAGCCCTTCGACCATCGAACGTTCCGTTCGCCAGAATCTCGAGACGAATATTCACGGAAGAGAAAAACGACGTAAGTCGATCCATTAGGACTAACCGTGTGCTTCGACGGCGCATCGTGGCGGATGACAGTTCCCCGTCCAGCGGGAATCCTTCGACAAGAAGCCTCCTCCTCTCTTATCCGGTTAATTCACGTTAAGACCGGCACCAAGTGAAATCCTTGCGAAAGGACGCGCGCGTGGAACTCACGAGAGAAAACTGACCGAAAGAAGCGCGGTACACGAACAGAGTACCGACCCCCGATACCGAGCTGCTCTCTCGGTTCAAGTCGAGAAGGAAAGAGAAAGAGCAGAACGTACGAAGAGAAAGAGAGAAAGACTTACGAGAGACGCATGGAGAGAGGAAGGCAGATAGAAGGTTGGCGGCAGAAATGGTCGTAGAAGGGGCGGGAGGGACGAGAAACAGCGACAGGGTGGAGGACCAAAAGAGAAGAGAATAGTTGGAGGGTGGGAGAGAGGGTCTGGTGGGGACTTCTTACTCATTCATACTCAAACGCCCCCGCAAAATTGCAAGTACCGTAAAGACGGTGCTTCTTCTCCACGCTCGAACTGCCAGCTATACGCCGCTTGATTAACGAATTCGATGCACTCGGTTTGATCTTGCTCGAAAGATTGGATGGCGAAAGTTTCGGACGAATGCGGTGATTCATGAATAGAAGATTTTTGTTCGGCTTTCTTGGATGTTTTTCTATGAATTGGATTTTCAACCGGTTTGAAAATGAAAGCCTTGATAAGTAAGGGTGACCGATGTTTGAGAGATTTTTGTTTGTGGTGTGTTTGGGTACGATTTTAATTTCTGGTTGGAACACTTCTGGAGATTTATGAGTATTCTGTATGAATGAGTACATGAATGAACTGATCGGTATAAATGCAACCGAGTTACACGTCGTGTTATAATAACATTGTAATAAAGAGGTTAAATAAACGATATAGAGTTCAGCGATAAGATAGAGCGATTTGTCTTTAGATCGTGCTATCAGTTGCGTTATAGATTAAATATAAAAATTAAATGAAAATATCGAATAATGTACATAAATAATGTATTGTTCTAGAATTACGTATATTTCGATCTTTGTGTATCTTATTTAATATTTACTTGTTTTGGAAAATCAATAACATAGTGACGTAAAATATTCGATTGTCGCTTCAGAATTTTAATCTTCAATTAATCAAATTACAAACGTTGTCACGAAGCTGACATAATCTGACAACCAGAGAAGATGAATCATCTCTTGGATAATTTTTTTTTGTATAAGTGACATATTTGATACCATAATTCCATCTGGAAGAAATAAAATGGATTTATCTAAAATTTATAATTATCGAAATTTCTCGTTAAAATGTGACCTGGATAGAATAAAATTTTACCTGATTCAGTATAGATGCAATCAGAAAGTGATCCTAAGTTTTTCACCTGTACGTTATCCTAACGATATATGGCAATATTACTCTTACCCCAATCGCCATCCTACGGGCCTCCTGTATATTTTCCGTGGTAACGGGCAACGAGGTCACCCTTAAGCCGCAAATAGTTCATGCAAAGTAATCAAACAAGTTGTTACGATGTTGCAAAAAAAGGAAAACGTTAGCGTAACGTAATTAGAAGCGTGCCTCTTGTCGGTGCTATCGGGCGTGAATCTCATTTCGACTCGGACGCGACGTCGCGCGAAATTCGACGGACGCGATTAGCGGACGAACGTTAACGTCCGTTTGTTAATTAATGCGCGTGGTATGGTCGCACGAACAATACGCTCGTCGAACCCGCCAATTCAATTTCGACAAGCCGGATTAACGCGTCAGGATGAATCGGCGCCGGCGCTCGATCACGGCGTCAACACGTGCCTTTTATTAATCACCCTCCGATTTTGTTAATTATCCCCTATTACCGAATCGCCGCGATCGAAATAATCGGGCCAACATCGATCACACCTACGCCACTCTGCGTGGGCTTAAGACGAAATGGGCTCGCGATTGATATCAATTTTTTTATATTTATGACATAAATTTATAATTAATTCCTCTTTGGAAATTACAAGAAAATTTATTGATATTTTATTCTAGTTTACCACGTGTGTAACCAAGATCAGAAAGCAAGCCGCTTTTCAATTTCAAAGCTTTTCAATTATTTTTGCTGTGTATATCTGATTGTGTATCAGGTTCAAGGATATACATGTCCTTTAAGCCTAAACGTGTATAAGTTTTGAGCTAATGATATCGATATGGACGAGAGTGATTGAAGCGCGAAGTTTAGATTACAGCGCTAATATAATGAGTGAAATTATGTATTTTTTTTTAGTGATAATATCTGTGAATGATTAACATTTATTGACAGTTATGCGTATCTCGATATCGATATTTGTAATAATCATCGATACAGTTTAATCGTCACTGCGAAAGATTTATATTTCGAAACTGTGAAAGAAGGCATGGAGTTATGCGAATGTTGTTGACAATTATATGATAATATTTGTCGTTGGTAATCGACATTAATGAAATTGATTTGGCGTGTATCTTACTTTTTGTATTATTATATTTTTGTCGATATTCCATTCTTTAATTTTGTTTTGTTCTGTACTGTGAATACGTATTATACACGCGTGATATTAAATATATTGTAAATATTGTTACAGATTAGTACTTATTTAAATATTATGCATTTTTACAATCGCATTCTGTACCTCCTCGTTCATTTAAGAGATTAATTCTAACATAAAAAACAAAAGAAATATAAACTTGAAAAGCAAATCTCGTTACTTCTCGGAAGCTATCGCCGCTTATCAATATTTGCCGACAATTATTGACTTTGTTCAATGTCTGTCGACGATTTCAAGATGAATTCAATCTAATATAATTTAAAGTTCCAATATTAAAACACAAAAACGTATAAAACATCAATGATACTTTATACATGGAAACACTGATAATTTCCAATAAAAATATGTAATAAAGAAAATACAATAGAAACCTAATTATTTTTCTACAAGTTCATTCTTCGAACATTCATTAGCTTTGCACATCCATCGAATGATGCTATCCGATCACTGATCGAAGATCGATAACGTTTACATTTCCGCCGTTGTAAACGCGAATCCCTTTGCCAGACGCCACCTGTTATACCATTCGCGAAATTACGAGATTGAGATTATTAGCGATTCAGCCGTCGAAAATTCGCTATGTGCCGCGGTTTGACCCCTCCCTAACCGATCCCTCATTGACGAATTGACCCCGATGACAAATCGCGTCGCACGTGTGACTAACTGATAGCGGCGCGAGTTTCTGTAATCCCCGCGATCCTAAAGCCACTGGTGGCCGATTAGCGAACGCGATTGCGTTCAGTTAATTAGTGCGTACAGATTGTCAGCCTGCAGTCAGGATTTCCTCTCTCTATCCCAAATCTCCTGGTTCTATTGATTTTCCTGCAGCTCTATATATTCGTATTTTTATCAACGACGATGGAAACGAAAATTAAGATTAACGGTTCCGGCTTCAAATCTCTAATTTGCTAGTCGTGATTTTTGATGGAACAACAATGTTTTTTGAACAGCTATTTTCAATTACTGTTCGTATAGAAAATTTGATCACGGAAATATTTAAGCAAAATAATTATCTAGTTCAGTGTGATAAAAATCGTATTATAATGGTTTGTCGCCGTACGCAAACATTCCATATTATGCTTTTAAATATATTATCTGTTATATTGCTTCAGTTTAATTACTTTTCCAATAGTAGTCCACAGTTGAATATATATTAAATTAAAATTGTATTTTGATAAATCGAATTTAGATGCGTTCCCTATTGAAAACACGTTTTAGCCAGTTCTGCGGGTCATTCTATTATAGGAAGGAATCGCGACTTGAAGAAGATTGAGAAATATAGACGAATTTAACCTGACTTGAAAAAAAAGATCGGTTGAAAGTATTGTTAAAATTAGACGACGATGATGGAAAATTTGTTAATAATATATCGTTGTAACTTTATTGGCATTAGTTATTCATAGTGAAATTATGTATTTTGAAGAAACTAAAAACATTTCCAGTAGAGCAGAATTGTTTTTTCAATAAATAATCTTTTTGTGCAACATGAAACTGTAAACATACAGACTCTTACGCTCTTTGATGAAAAATATGTAGAACAAGAAACATATACTTAATCGGTTTTAAATACGAATTAAATACGAATTTTAAATTCTATTCAATTTATTAAACATATTTCCAGTGATCTTTTCGAAAAATTTCTTGGAAACAGGGTAATGCGTCAAACGTTGCGTCACATTTCATAAATAACATTTGGCAGGCGAAAAGTTACAAGACCAATTGCGTTTCGTGTATGTAACGTAATCATGTTTAAAAGTCAAGGTGCTTGGTAAACTATTAACACTACGTTGGATGATCATTTCTCTGCGGCATATCTCCTCCGTCGTGGTTCGAGGAGCGCGTGTTTAGAAACGGCTTGTCGTACGGTATAAATTGTATATACATATCGTAAGAGAAATTGGTCGTGTTCAAATAAATAAACATCCGTTTGAAAATGGGAGCGCTAAACAAACGATGATCTTGATCGTAAAATTCGCGGGGGCGGTGGCAGCATCGCTATTTATTTAAATAGTGGATATTTTTGTAAAAGTTCTCTCCGCGCTACAATTCTCAACTTGCTTGTAATTTCAATTTCTTTTTCTTTCTACTCTGCAGACTAATTTTTCTAACCCTTTCACGAAATTGTATAACTTTTGTTATTTCCACTTCCGCAATGTTATATAATTCTATAATTCGTTGTACGTAAATATGGTAGGTTAATAAATTCTAAAATTTACGTAATTTACGAACGAAATCAATTATTCCTTGCGAAGTTTATGTCTCTATTGGTGTAATCTTAGTTTCAATCCGGATCATAACGATCGGATAATTGGAATATCGCTAAATTCAAATTGTACGGTTACGTATTACCTAAAATATCACGGCGATGATTCCTTCGTTTTCGTTATTTTTATTATTTCCAAAAGGTATTTATCCGAAGATATTCTAAATCGAGCTGTTTTTCGTCGGTTATCGCTCTGTTAGGTCACTTTTTCCGATGGCAGGACACGTGTCCTGTTACACAGCACTAGGGATGGGCGTCAAAGGAAGCAGCTAGTGACCTCGAGAAGCAACGTTTCTATTTAGGGCAGACGATAGACGATAAACCGTGCTCCAGGATGCAGCCTGATAGAAAGCG